GAGCCACCGTTTTTGTATATGATAGATGGTATATCATCTGTCCCACAACTACCGTTAGCTTTTAGTGTCTTTACCGCTGATGCTATATTTTGCATATTAAAGTTGATTTCACCTAACTCGTAGTTATTTTTGCAGGTTATATCGAGGATTGGAGACGGATGCGCTTTGGTGTTATTGGAGAACCATTGGTTTAGGAGTTCACAAATAATCTGGGGATCATCATAAATTATACCTTCATGCTCCAAGTGGCCAACATTATTTTCTTTACCCTTGTTTAGTCGTTTTTGCAGGATCTTGCAGAGTTCCTGAGTTTTAGAGGTGCCCCCTAGGGCTTTATTTTCCTCGAGTTGTGCCTTCATTTTATGTCTCTGCTCAAGATTTTTAAATGTTTCATGTATCTGGTGTAATGCACTAAATTCTTTATATAAATAAAATTTCCTTTTCAATTTCCTTAGTTTTAATCGCGTTTTGCCGTCTATGATTAGAGTTGGTGTCCTTAAGGCGGACTTTAGGGGTGCGATTGTATCTCTTACCGAACTGACCGTCTTGTAAAAGGTATCAAGTGTTACTTCTAAGTTATCATTGGTAAAGTATTCATCCCAGTCAGAGCTTCTCAAGAGCGTTGGTAGGAATTCCCAGTCGGCATTTCTATAGTCCCTATATTGATAGTGAACCGGGGAATTTTTAGGTGTGTGTTTAGTTATTAGTTGAAGAGGTAGGGTGCAGTACAGTATGTTGTGATCACTGTTGTCGAGTTTATCCCCCACCTCTATCGAGATCGGCTCTGTTTCGTGGCAGAAGACTAAGTTGAGAATATTTTTATGTCGTGTTGGGAGGCGTACACACTGCTTCCATCCTCCTACGTCTACAGCTTCTAGGAGCTCGTCATAGATTCTAGGTCCAGTGCAGGTATCCCAGTTCACACCGGGAAGGTTAAAATCGCCACAAATTATTTTGTAGTCGAATTCCAGGGTAGGTACATGCTCTAGTATTTCTGCGATAAGTGAATTCTATATGTAGTCGCAGGTGACACAGTACATTCCTTGTTAAGTATGGATATGTGGATAATGTGAGGAATGCGGCTAATTTCCAAAATAATAAGGAAAAATGATTCACGCAGAAACTGAACACCTGTAGCGCAACAGTTCGATTTGATGGAAATATTAGATGTAACCGTTTGTGTTGTCTAAAAAATATTATCCTCCTCATGTAGCACATATGCGGTTCCTATAAAAGAACTGCTTTATGGGTAGAACTTTATCTTTAGGGAAGTTTTAATACCTTATTTCGAAAATATGCTGTTATCTCCCAGACTTGAATTTAATCATCAATAATTTGGACTAAACCCTTGGTGGCACTACTGTTTGAAGGTTTTAAACGGTTATATTTAATAGCTTCTTGGCATATATCTCCGATATATGCCGAAACACTCTACAGCTCTGGTCCATCCGCTATGATACGTTCATCACCTCACAGATAAACAACATTTAGCATTAGATGTTCGAATCACTTACTTAGTATTCTCGTGTAAGTTTATTTGCGTGTTCAATTTTGAAGGATGGATTTACGAGTCCCCTGTATTTAATTTCATCAAGTGGGACTGATGTACAACTCTCGTATATTGGCCCAACAGATAAAATATATATATTCTATCATGCAGATTACTCTGTGCCTTTTCCAGAACCTTGTCGTCTACCAGGTCTTAAAGTGCTTGAATAGGTGCCATGAAACCACATCGCAAATTCGGTTTTAATTCTTTTAACCTATGTTCGTAGGTCGCCTGAAAGTCGATTGGTTACTTAAAAGTTCCAAAGAGGCATTTTAGCTTAACGCATTGAAGTCCGACACTGCCTACCTTTTATTATGTGAACTGAAGTGTTTTTGGCTTCTCCAATAGCCTGTAGATGCTTCATCGCTGTACATAGCGGTATAGTTTTTTAGATAGTCCTTAAATAGAGGCTGTGCATTTAAACCCTCCATTATTTTTTATCTTTATTTTTATTACAGCTTGATGCCACACCGTATTTTCAGTACAAGTATGACATTTACAGCATGGATATCGGTAGCCCAAATTTACAGGCTGACCATAGATATCGGGTGTGCGTCGGCAGGTGATCGAACCCCGGACCATGTGCATGGTTGGCGAGAGTCCTAACCACTGTGCCACCGACTCACAAACATTATCAAAACAGACAGACGTAAACAGCTACACAAAGCGAATCTGCCTGACGAGTACCACTGCCATTCTTTTGTGCGACGAAACCACTTGAAAATGATTACAATTTTCAAAGAAAAACTTCGAACTTCAAATACACTGCGGCAGTTGAATAAATTATTGAAGCATATTGAAATTTAACGTTAAAAACTGAGGCAAAACTGGTGAATCATCGTGTTTCAGATACACAGGTAACGCTTCGTAAATAGAACCTATAAAGATGCAAGAAAATGATGTTCGAACCGGTGGAAAAGTTGTGATTTCCTTGGCTTCTAAAGCCTTGGGCGTGATTCTAAGTGGGATCTGTGATTAGATGTTCTGTATTGCACCATTCATATTTAGCAGCCAACCGTCGTGTCGGAATAATTACCAGAACTATCGGTCGACAGTGCGTATAGTAACAGAGTGAACCGCATAAGCACTACGATGGACATGTGAAGCGGGGAAATCTAGTCAAACACACAGAAGGACACTTACCACTCAATATCGTTAGTGGAGAAAGAGAATCTCATAAAAAAATAGAAGACATAGTTCCAGCTTGTCAGCGCGTCTCATCATTCTGTATTCCTTAACCACTAACCACTTCTGTATCCGTAGTGTTTATTATGTATGGTAGAGGCCCTACACATGGATTTAAAGTGAGGCTATATTGTTTCTTGTTCCTCTCCTGGCTACCAGAATCAGTCTCACTCTTTGGTCACACAAACATATACATAATTTGTATTATAGTGAATATCTGTTTATTTTGTGAGTCAAAATTTTCCCGACGAAATAACTATTTGCAATTATGTGTCTCACACGACAATATTGTAGCCAAACGAATGATTTGGATATAACTCTAGGGCAACCTACTTGATAGTTTTGATACTTGCTGGAATATTTCTGCCAATTTTGCAAGTACCACTCTTTACTTTTGACCTTTGTATCACTTTCTGAGATTTACCTGCCTTCGTGACTCAGCTGGTTGGAAGTTTTTTCGTTGCTCCATTTGGAGTTATGTGATACTGAACTGTTGATAATATGACTGTGTTTTATTTATTTCGACAATTTGTTCGGCGGAAAGCAAGGAATACCGCGGGATAACCGTTTGCTCTTTGAATTTTGAAAAAACATTTCATAAACTGTACAGAAGTATGCGGCAAACTACTAACGTTCCTTCAATCAGGCAAAAATTCTTGGCTTACGATCGAAGTATGTAGTTGGTGATCCGAGTTCGCATTTAGTGAATTAATTTGGGATTGGCGGTTAACGAAGTTCTAGGGGATACCCAAACACAACTTCCTTCGTAAACAGAAATTATTCATATCACAATGTGTGTTGTACTTGGTACCGCAGATAGCACTCCTGTAAACAAGCGTGGTTAGCTTAACCCTACGATGGATAAAATTGTTACCTCATGTAAATATGGCTTGTCAGCAGATAAGAGGCATTCACTAAAAATGGTCACTACCAACAAAGCCGCTCTATCAAAGTTATGACTAACCTGAAAAAGTCTCGTACATTATTGTCACTTGCAGGCAACGTTACACACTGGATTCAGCCTTTGGTACTTTACATTTCATAGGATTCGTGATATCATTTCGGGACGAAGAGGAACTGCCGCCAAATATTAGGTATGCAGTAGTGTTGGCAGATTACCGTTAAGTCACGTGGAAAATAGGAGGGGACCTCTAGAGATTCAGAGGTCAAACTGTTCGTGTGTTGATGGTTAACAACGTAGGGCACTTAGCTGCAGTCTGTCAAGCGGTGAAACTGGGACTCTCAAACAGTCACTGACTGAGTCAAGCAATGATGGTTTCATTACGAAATATTTAAAGTCTGAATGGATATAGAAAGAATTCCACCACTACGTTCGTTTAATTAATCAGTTCAAAGCAATATGTAGTCACCTATTACCAGTTACAGTTCCGGGCAACCAGATGGTACCAGGTTTCCGCTAAAAGCATAGTAGGTGGTTGAGACAGTGGGCATGGTGAAAGAAGAGGCGGTGAGCTGCTTTAAACAGAATACGCAGTCATTAAAAAAGGATCTGGAGGCCTATCTTCGAAAGGTGATGGGTTAGGTGATTTGGGTCAGTAGGGAAGATACTACTAATTTCACTAGTAACTACAAGATTGTGTGAGATATAAGAATAGCTGCTCATAGAACTTATTTTTACTTCAGAAAATCCACTGGAAGGCTGCACAGGGAAGCCTATGAGATAGCTGAAGTATGAAACTAATTTCTCAGTTTACCTTGGGAGCCACTATCCACGCTTTTATCAGTCGAGAGCTGACAACATACAATTCTGTATCGCTTACAATCTACTGAATACCTCGGAATTTCAAAAGGAAGCTATAACTGATTGATTACTGCCGCAGGTGTTGTGAATAAAGTCGGGGGATTCTACACCAGTGGTATTTACTGCGATGCCTAGGTGGACATCTGCAGGGAATTTCTGACAGTTGGGTGCATTACTCACTCGTATTAGCCCTTAGATGAAGTTAACTGGGAATGTCTTGTTCTAACTGGGAATAAGCGACAACATTTTGGACTCTATGGGTGTCTAAAAGTGATGAGAAATTCACAACAACACCGGGGTATAATGCCCAAAGTGAACTAAATTCACCACGTTTATTACCAGGGGGATATTTTTGGATTTGTTTTGGCTGAAAATTAGTGATTTAGCCTCACCGAATAATATCTTTTCCAAATATCATAGAACTTCAGAATTTGACTGCTTGCAGTACAAAATCTTTGAAATGTGAATTGAAGCTTGAAGGATAGTGTTTAAATCAAGCACATTAATGAACTAACTAATGGATAAATATTCAAAAATACATATGTGTTTTCTTGTTTGCGTGTGTAGATAACATTTTCCAAGTAATGGTGGATGAGTCTAAATACAAGGATGGAGGATGGGCATGGGTGGTTGTTTTTGGTGCATTCATATCTCATTTTATGACATGTGGATTTGAAAAGGGATATTCTGTCCTCTATGTGGAAATTATTCGTGTATATAATACAAGTGCGGCTCTCGCTGCTGCTCTCGGAGGTTTAGCATCTGCAGTTCGACTGTTATTAGGTTTGTCCATTTATTAAATACATTATGTTTAGCCCCTCTATCCGTTTCCTTAAGTAATATATACTCTGAACAAAAAGTGGCTATGGCAGGAGGCTTATTGACATTTGTTGGTCTTCTAACAGCAGCACTGAGTCCTCATTTTACCATATTTTTCATTGCATATGGAGCTGTATTTGGTAAGGAAAAAATTTTCAAGTAACACTTTTAGGTTTCGGATTAACTCTTTCTTATACTCCCTCCTTGGTTGTATGTACGCATTACTTCCACAAACGTCGTGCGACGGCTCTCAGTCTTTCTCTGGCTGGATGTGGCGTCGCAACTATCGTTCTACCGTATCTATTTTACTTCCTAATCAGTTATTACGGACTACGTGGTGCTATGATTATTCTTTCTGCGTTGAGTCTCCATTACTGTGTTGCTGGTGCCTTATACTACCAAAGAGAATCGAAGAAAGATAATGTACAGGATTCAGAGTCTTCAAAAGTCCAATTAAGCATATTTTCAAGATTTGTGAAATATATCAGTCGTCTGTTAAATATTAAGGTTGCTTCAGGAATATGGGTGAAGATATTTTTACTTTCATTCATTTTGAATATGATGGGTTCATCGCCGGTAACAACACTTCTCATAGATCATGCAGAACAGCTTGGGGTAAGTTAAAGAACTTTGATACGTTCGATTTATTTATCTTTGATTCTAAAGTGTGTTATTAACAGCATCACCGATGCACTTAAAAGAACACAAGAAATGGATTGTGTCACCTGAATAGCTACTGCCACTAGATCACACAGTAGGATCAGATCTATTACTTGTTTTGACGGTTTACATCACTCGAATTCATGTGATATTTAGGCAGTATTGTATTATAGTTCGTTAATTATCTCCGGAAATATTCCTCGATATTATTGTAGTATGGGAATTAAACACTTTCTTAAAATATAGCTCCATAATTTATTTCATGAAATGAATCGCACAGAAGAATGTTATTGTCTGTTGGGTTACGTTTTGAACACTGTTTACTTTTGGCAAACGTGTAAAGCAACTAATATCTGCTGGAATTGAATTTCATCGAATGTTACAATCCTAGTTTTTGTTTGTATCAGTGTCCAAGATGACTGCCTCTGGTAAAATATATGTTGACCTTTCTCATCAGAATATCTAGCAGTTAAGGACTAACAACGAGAATATGTAAGGCTTTTGCGCTTCTATACCACACATCTGGATGGTTATGTGCGTCGGTGGCACAGCGGTTAGGACTCTCGCCGACCATAAACATGGTCCGGGGTTCAATCCCCTGCCGGCGCACACCCGATATCAATGGTCGGCCTGCAAAATTTGGGCTACCGATATCACATGCTGAAAATTCCATACTTGTACCAAAAATACTGTGTGGTTTCAAGCTGTAATAAAAAAAAGATCATCTACATTAGTAACTGACAAAACTGTCGTTATCTGCCCGATACTTCAAACAAATAATTAAAGAATACACACTGAAATTCAGTTCTGTAACAGTTGTGTATAAGTATAACGTAGGAATTAAATTGGTACTTGGACTGATTTCAGGGAAGATTAACGTCTCTACGTTGTAAGCTGTATATACTCTAATCTTACGTGAGATAGAAAGATGCTTTTAAAAAGTTTGTTGAAACCTTGACACTCGTATTTACAAGTAAGTACACTGGGGAAACAAAAACACCTTATCCATACAAAATCCAATAATGTTTCGTGAATTTTTGTATTTACTTGTAAACTGCGATACTGGTAAAAGTTTTGATGTGGTTAGTTACCTTTTTGATTAGAGTTAAGCGCCGTTTGATTACCTGTAAAACTTGAAAGTATGGCATTGTATACAACACGGAGAAAATACAACCTTTTTCTCAAACAGAACAGGTTTACTTATTGGGTAACACAGTCTAACAATACGCAGTATGACAGTGCTTAGAAACATTTATTATTTATTTTTTTATTTTGATTACAGCTTGATATCACACCGTTTTTTCAGTACAAGTATGGAATTTTCAGCATAGATATCGGTAGCCTAAATTTTTCAGGCTAACCATAGATATCGGGTGTGCGTCGGCAGGTGATTGAACCCCGGACCATGTGCATGGTCGGCGAGAGTCCCAACCCCTGTGCCACCGACACACAACATGAATAGTGACAGACAGATTCGTTTACTTTTTACAAGACATCTAAGTGAATCATAGTGTGTCGATAACATCTTTTGGACATAATCAAAACTAGGTGATCTTAGATCGGAGTCTTGTTTGATTGGAATTACTTGTCACGAAACACGTTTTTAAAGATAGTTTTAAAGGCAATAAATAATAATATAACTGAGAAGGGATCGATGCATAGTAGTTTGGATAAACTCGAGAATTCTCATTTTACTGTAGATGGTTACGAGTGAAAAACCCTTCAAAATGAATGACACCGTCTGTTAATCACTCAGATCTGGTTTCTCAGTGTCACATATTCAGTAGTCGCCATTAGAAAACTAGCGGTCGGCGGCAAAACTATGCAAATCATTCTGGTGTTCAACAGGCAGCTGTAATATGCTTTCAGATAAGATCTCCAATATCAAGTTTACTAGCTTAAACAGGTATTGGGATCAGCCTTGCAGCTGTTCTTATATCAGTGATTATGTTTAACGGTTGCATCAGTTAAAGAAAAGATAAATGGCCTGTCAGTCTAGTACACGGATGTGACTGATTGGCTTAAGCGCAAGGCTTTTATCCAATGGGTCCCAGTTTCGAGTCCTCCTCACTATACTTTAACTCAGACAAATTTGTAGTGTTACCAGGCTTCACACAACAAGTATAACTTACAGTCTTGCATATGTTCCGGATAACTCTGATTAAAAATTGGCAGAATATGAGTAGCTGGATAAGATTTGAGGAAATAAAGTGACATTATCATCATATGTTTGGTCAGCATCTGTTTATCTATCTTCAGAGTTTATAACAAAAAGCAAATAAAGCCACTATAGGGTTTGTGATTACTGTTCAGTAGTCAACGTTACCCCACCTTATATCCACCCATAAACCAGAAGATAATCAGTGAGAAAAGGAGATGAGGAATTCAAATCTGTACAAGTCCAAAAATGTGGGGCTCTCGAAGTTACAATTGAAAGGGTATCATTAAAGAACAGACAGTACAGTCAAATAGTCTTGAACCAGCCAGTCAGATTCCTGTAGGTGAAAAGTGGCATTTATTGTTTAAAAAGGTATATTTATAAGATACATATGTAACAAAAGTGAATCATACAGGGTATACATCTCTAATATCCTGTAGAAATAGGTCCCACTTTTTAATAGGAATGGTTGCGGACATGTACCATTCTAATCTCGTTTTTGATATGCCTAAATCCCTTCAACAGAATATGTATGAATACCAGTTCTGGGACACATTAATCCTGATTAATGATTGACTTTATGATGAATATATCCTGCTGATGATAGTCACAAAGCTCAACATTTCAAATGGGTGCTGTTCATAATCTTTGTTGAAAGTTTCACCCTAACCATACATTAACCCTGATCCCAGCCTTACACTTGCCCTAACGTTACCCTAATCCTACGCTAATCTTAGCCATAACCCTAACTCTAAATGAAGATGAAATTTGCAGCGAAAACTATGTAAAGCATCCTTTTGTAACGCCAAACAACCTGATTGGTCGGCTCAAGGTTATTTGACCGTGGTATCTATTTTTTGCTGTTTCCACTGAAAGTAAGATAAGAGATGGGAATAGATATGTAACACTGTAATTATGCTTTCCAGCAGTTAGGTGAATTTTAACCAGATAACTTACTCTTTTCTTCACAGCTCAGATTAAAAGTCTGTGACTTCCCTGTGATGTTCGGTTCCACGTTTAAGTCAGACTATATATCCCTTTCTTCCAATCAGCTCCTACTTTTGTCTTATTCCCTAATGTTCCTAGTGGAACATAGGGTGGCTTCAAGCTAGAGCTTTGAAGTTTCAGTAGAAGTGGTGTTTCTTCTGACGGTTTGGGGTTGTTAGCCTCATTTCAAACCTTCCCTCTGTACTGGCTTAGAGAGGAGTGTGTCCGGGGGTCGAACCCCGGACCATATGAGTAATTGGCGAGCATTCTACCATTAAACTACCGAAGCATGTTTAGACTTAAATAGGCATAGGTAAATGTAAATTTATAAATATGTGGCATCCTCCCTGGTAGACTTCATTATGGCTAACTGTTTGCTGTTATATTTTGTTAGATAAATAATAAACTAGAATGGATTAGCGATTTAAATTACTTGTTTAGCTTATCAATAAGCATCTTTAAGTAGTCCATCATGTGTCAGATTACTACTAGCAAACGTTAACAGAAATTATTATCATTATCATTTCCTTGGGTTCCGAGTGACGCATAGGGCTTCAGAAGTACATTTGCATTCCACTCTGCTCTCTAAAGTTCTTTTTAGATGACCCGACGATTGCTCGTCAGCTTTCATCTTCTCCTCACACTATCTTCTTCATCTCACTATCTGACCAATACCCAACTTGTCTTTTCCAATTTAGGTTCCACTCGAAGGTTTGGAGCGTGATGTCGCTCCATCTTCATTTACTTCTGGATATTTGTTGAGCAAGATGTTGTTGGTTTATTCGTTCCCAGAATTCCTTGTTTTTATATCCCTTATGGTCAACCATCTTATCTTTAATATCAAGGTAAGGAAGATGGCTCTTCATGAAAGTGTTCAGTAGCTTGTTGGAGATACTTTTAGTGACACACCAAGTCACTAGACCACGTAGAAGCACTAATTTGACACGAATGTTGGAAATCAGAGTCTTGTTCTTTATACTGAGCACAGCAGATTTCCACATCGATTTCAGAGTAACGAAAGTCTGTCTTGTCTATCTGTTTGTCTGTCTATACATGAAACTATGCTGCCTAGATATGCGAAAGAGCTGATTTCCATCAAGCTCCTTCCGGTGGTGGCGACTGATGTTTATTTTTCTTATTGGTTTGTTTTCTCTATATTCAGTTGAAGTCCCGTCTTCCATGCCTTTTCTACCGATTTATAGGTTTTCACCTGTACATCTTCAAGTTTGTATAACGTTAGACATACATTTCATGTGAAGTTCAGATATTTTTAGAGTCTTCATTTTTGATTGCATGGAGGATTTCAACATGAGCTGAAATCAGTTAGAGAACCATTGGAAAACCTGGGAGAACTAGGCAGTTGGCTGTTTCGTCCTAGTCTGAGACTCTTCAGCAGTACGCACCCACCGGGATTCGAACCCAGGGCCTTCTGGTTACAAGGCGAGCTCGTAGACCATTGAACCACTGGGACCCGATTCAATGGCCAGTCCATGGATTCTAACTTCTGCCAATTCACGACATAGCGCGACCATTTCACAGTGTCTTCTTCGATGAGTTACTGCCTCATCTTCAACCTGCCGTACCCTACTGGTCATGACTTCCCACCAGTCTTCATTTCTGTCTACCTAACGTATGCCCGTCTTCTCTCTCCATACACGCTCACAGTTTATTACATGATCCAGTCGATCAAAATCAGAAATTCCTCCTTTTTTAATTCTAAGTCCATTAAAACACTTCAGAAAATGTATATCGACAATTCATTGCGCGGGGTGGGGGTGTTTTTTCGTTTTTCAATAATATACCCACCAAAGATTTCTTTTCTCTCTCTCTCTTTGAACACATTTAACTGACTTCTAGACGTCATGTTCGTGAAAAATACACTTTGAATATTTCGGCTTAGATATGTTTTCTCTTTTGTTCTTTCGTGTGTAAGTGTGCGTGTGCGTGTGTGCAAAGAAAGACAGTGACAAACTTTAATCCCTATGAAGCTTAGATTAGTTGAATTCTATTGCATTTTTTTTTAAAAATTTTGTTATTCTAATCTCTAAATTAGATCAATAATAATATTGTGTTGATTTACTCCCTAGCCTTGTTGGAAAATTTCCACCCAAGTGTGTATTATTATCTCAACTGTAACACATGACTGAATGCTTAGAAAGTCCTCTTTAAAGTAATCTTTTCAACTAATTAACAGATTACGAGAACCGACGGCGGTCAAACCAAAACATGGCATCAGTCAATGAAATCTACGACAGTTAGTCTGAGCCACGTACGAAGGTGTAGACTTCCTAGTTGTGGTCCTCGGGACGATAGAAACCAATAGTTGGAAACAATTGGTGACATGGCTCAAAGTCGTTCTCAATGGTGCATATGCATTCACTCCTTGTGACTTATGATTTCCAATGAAACTATATTGTTCTTCGTTACTACTATTCCTTTGTCTCACACCTCTGTTTACTGTCTATATTATGCATTTCTCCTACTTTCTCATCCTTTGTGTGCTACATGGAGTGTGGCGACTTGAACTGCCGCACATATGTGCATAGCTCTATGTTGAAAACAGACAGACAGACAGACAAAATCTATGCCTTCAAGTTCACATAAATGGCTCATCTTGACTGATGATTGGTTCTTTTTTTGTGGATCCAAATTTACTGACCGATGATTTACATCTTCGACTATCCTTCAGATGAAATCCAGTCAGGGTTTTTTTTGAAGGCTCAATGGAATTGTATGGCTCTAAAGGTCTAGCAGATCAGCTTTGATGATATGGTACAGTGGTTTTCTAAAATCGCGCATTTCCAGTTAGAGGAAAATTGTTAATAGTTGCATGTTGTTTAACCAGCTTATGATTTTTAATATATTTTTTATTTTTATTTGTTTTATTAAAGCTTGATTTCTCAGAGTATTCTTGGTACAGGTATGGAATTTTCCGTATATGATATCGGTAGCCCAAATATAACAGGCTGACGATTGATATCAGGTGTGCGTCGGCTGGGGATCGAACCCCGGACTATATGCATGGTCGGCGAGAGTCCTAACCGCTGTGCCGCCGATGTATCAGTATACATAAAATATTCAGGAAAATTTTCCAGCCTATTAGTAGTACGCATATCACTTGTACAAGTTCAAACAGCTGCCTATTACTAGAAAAAATGTATAAACTGGATGTAAAATCATATTTAATGAATACATTTCGAATTCTCTAGTGGTTGGATTTACTGGATTAAAATGTTTACTTCCTGGTGGTATTATTTCATGTCCCAAGCAGAATAAAGTGCATCTACTGGTCAGGTGAATAACAGTAGTTAGTTTCATTTGGTTCCCTTGATAAAAAGAATAGAAAGACCGGATTGACAATGATACCATCATTCTGTTTCACAGTTTCTGATCAGCTGCACATCCCTACCTGGAATTACTGTGGTTATGAATAATGACAATAACATACTTCAATGTTTGAATAGTGGCAGTAGAGAAAACATTATAAAATCAACGCATCCAAAGTATAAGCATTACAGTTTTTGGTTTAAGTTAACATCAATTTATATGTCTTTCAAATTAGGAAAGGAGCACTGAGGAGAGGAGAAGACAGCAAACGGAGGTAGGTTTACATTGCAACTCAAGAAGATTATAGTTCATAAGATTGAAAACTTGCTCAGTGAGCTGAAGTCACTAATATGGCTGACTAATCAATGTAATGAAAATACAGTTACCAAGGGATTGGGTAAGAGATTGATTGCACTCTCTTTCTGTATACAAAAGTTTATTTTGAAAGGTTTATTTCGGAAAGAATAGAAAGTAGGACTTTCATATGGTTTTCAGAGCATATCCCAAGAAACTTACGCCTAAAAAGTAGCAGATATTCGCAAAGTTAAATTACCAGACACCTTAATAGATACGGGTCATTTCGTCGAAATTTCTAAATCCTTCAAAATATTAAACATACAAAAGACAGTAAGTTTACTACGACTTTCTGAAGCACTTGCGATCAAGAGTTTCAAATCAAACTTCGGCATACAGAAAGAGAGCCTAATCAATCTCTCACTCACTCCCTTGGTAACTGCATTTTGAGTACATTTATTAGTCATCCATATTGGTGATTTCAGCTTAATGAGAAAGGTTTCAATTTTATGAACTATATCCTTCTTGAGTTGCTATGTGAACTTAAAAGATAACACTTTTTTATTAGATTTCTCTGTTTCTTGTCTTCTCCTCTCCTCTACCCAACTTCCTTCTTTTTCTACTTTAAAACCATATAAATCGATGGTAACTTAAACCAAAAACTGTAATGCTTTCGCCGATGAGAATGATCATATCATTTTATACTGCCAGTCTGATCTTTCTTTCGTTATTCAAGCGATTAGTTCATCTGAAGGTGACATCAAAGCTGTCTTACTAGGTGTCAATGTGCCAACATAGACTGCAGATTTCGATCCAGTGAAACTAGCCAATGGGAACCTCAGAAAGTTGTAATAAATAACAAGTAATAATAACTACATCAGTATGAAAAGGGCATTGGTGTGTATCCTACCATTATCACCAGTCCTAAAATGCTTGCCAACCGGGCAGGTAGTCCAGTTTTGATTCCCAGTCGGAGAATACCTAAACCTCCCCTAGCCAGAAGTAAACTTGATAAAGAGTGAAGGTTGGATGTGATGAGACCAGTAATTCAACCGTGTAAAACCAAAAATAGCATCATTGCTACTGAAACATTAAACCTCAAGCTTGAAATTCTATGTTCCACTCAAAATGCAAAGGAATAAAGTGAGATGGCTCTGGCGGTTCCCCATAGCCTAGTGGATAACGCTTTAGCTCTTTAAACGACTGGTATTGATTAGGTTCGAGTCTTATATAGGAAAAGTATCAGCACTCTTAAGGGGATATAAGTGCATACATCCAGCTGATGAGTTCGAATTCAGATGATACTCGCAGATTGGGTTTAATGATAGGCAGCATTAACCAAATAAATGTAAAATGTACTTATATATATATATTTTCAACTCCAATGTAAAGTCAGTGCTACTATACGGATCAGAGACTTGGCTCCGTGTCACGAAGAGTACTTCGAACAAACTAGAGACTTTCATCAACAGCTGTCTTCGCTCAATACCACTCAAGATCAGATGGCCGGCCAGAAAAGATTAGCAACAGGGATCTCTGGCAATGAACGAACCAACCCAGTAGGAACCAACTGTGCAACAAATATGTAGGAAGAAATAGAGGTGGATTGGATTGGCCATACTCTGAGAAAACAAGCCATCATCAAGTGACATCACACGCCAGGCCATTGCTTGAGTGGAACCGGAAGGGGAAGCGGCGAGTTTGTCGTGAGTTCGAGGGTGAGGTGATGTGAAGAGGAGATGAAGCATGTGGGCAGACGTGGAGCCAGAGGAGAACGTTGGCAGACAACCGAACCCAATGGAGACGTTCGGCTGAAGACCCATGTTCCTCTAGGAATTAAAAGAAACAATAATAAGTAATAATAATATATACATGTTAAATGAAAATTCACCTAATTTTGTAACGCTAAAATAAATCAAACTGTATATAATTACAGTGTACATATTATTATTAACCTTTTCGGTTCTCTCTTTCCCTTTTTTTCTTAATCAAACATTCCAGTATGTCGGTGGCAGTTCAGTTCAATTACTTATGATTGAAGGCACTGTTCAATTAGTCGTGAGAATAGCATTGGGATTTTTCTTTGACAATCGTTATATTAAACCATATCGAGGTCTTATCTGGACTGGTGGTGTAGCCTTTTCATCCCTAATTATTATTTTTATTGCATTTGCTACTGATTTGAGAATACTATCAACTCTTATGTTCTTTAGAGGTGCATCATTAGCCTTGTATATTTCACAACAAGCTGTAGTTGTATCTGATTTATGCGAAGGACAACCAGAAACAACAAGTCAAACAATTGCTATAGCACAAATATGCAAAGGAATAGGAACTTTACTTGGATCCTATTTTTCTGGTGAGTCCATTTCTTTTTTTTTTTTGGTTGATTGATAACTTACCAGTTACGTAATATTTACTGTTACATTAAACATGTTATCAGTTTTTCTGTTAGATATGTAGTCTTTTTTTATGCCTTTACGTTCCCCGTGGAACATAGGGCTCTAAGCTAGAGGCTTGAAGTTTCTGTAGCAGTGGTGATTATTTTCACAGAATGTGGTTGCTAGCCTCATGCCCAACCTTCTTTCTTTACCAGTCTTACTACTGGCTTAGTGAGGTAAAGGAGTGCGTCGGCCCAGGATCGAACTCCGGACCACCTGCGTGGTCGATGAGCACTCTACCGCTGTGCCACCGACCCACTGTGTAGTCTTTTGGCTTGGAAAATTTTCAAATATTAGCTAAAACATTCTCTGTCTAAGTATTGTGTTTAAAATTCGCCACTCGTTGTATAATTCCAACTTAGGTGAAGGATAGGCTACATAGTCTGGCCACTTCAATGTGTATTTATAAATTTGACTGTTCTTGTGGAGACAGTTACATAGTTAGAACGGCTCAGTAAGCCCATTGTCGCCTTCTTCAGAGTTGTCCAATGTGGTTAGGTAAAAGAGTCGTAAATTCAATCAGAAGTTCCATACTGGTGTGGTGAGAGCTGGCTACTAGCTAAAATTGGTAGACAGTAATTTACGTCAATGTTTATGTCCCAAATATTGGTCATGTGAAAACAAGAACAAAGACTGACTCAATAACCAATCAAAGCAAACTTTGCATAGGCGGATACAGTTAGCATATAGATGATCTGACGTTCAAGAAACAGCCACAAAGAGATGAAAGACTAACTTTCAGTGAGAAACAGCCAATCAGAAGACTGTGTTTTTCTGCTAACAATAATCTATAATAATGTACATGAAAATCTATAAATATGTGTTGATTTCCTTAATAAACGATGTGTCGCCTGGCCCTTGTCTTCTGTTGTTACACTGGTACACTTACTGGATAGAAAGCACAAGTTAGGGCTGTCGCCGACCATACACATGGTCCGGGGTTCGACCCCCTGCCGACGAACACCTGATATCTATGGTCAGTCTGCAAAATTTGGGCTACCGATATCACATGCTGAAAATTCCATGCCTGTACCAAAAAATACGGTGTGGAATCAAGCTGTAATCAAAAATAATAAAATTGAGCTTTTGTAATTCTATACAACTCCCTAGGTTGATGTGTCTTTGGTTTCTAAGCATAGTTGAGACAATTGCCATAAAAAGTTTTCAACCTAGTCTCTATGTTCTGAGAAAGTTTTTTAATCTCTCTCTCCTTTGGCCTACAAACTCATCATGGAGCAGTTATCTCTCCTGGTGACACCGGATAACTGTAAATATTATCTTATTATTTGTACCGCTAGCTGCATTATCAATGTTCGATTTCCTGCTGATGCACACCTGATATCAGTGGTCGGCCTGCAAAATTTGGGCTATCGATATCACATGTTGAAAATTCCATACTTGTACCAAAAATACGGTGTGGAATCAAGCTATAATCAAAATAAATAAATAAATAAAAAATATGATGATCATTAGTTTTAAGTTTAGACGTAGACTATTAGGCGAGAAATGAAAGTCAGTTGAAGAGTTTCTGAAGTTACATCGCTTGAGGTGACCGGTACGCTTTTTTCTCCCACCATATCATGACCATCCTCATTGATTAGTGTTAGTGGACATCGTATTAGGTTGGCAAGGCGTTTTGAGGATGGACAAACCGAAGATGGCATCTACCCATTAGTCATATAGGGAAGTGCAGAGTGTCTGGTTAGATTCATGGATAATCCCCATCCAGGCATTAATGAAAAGAAAACACGTAGTTCAGCGAAGAGTCTCTTTTCGCCGGTGAATTCATTTTCTTAGCTGTACAGTCGCAAATATGTATGTGGGTTATTGTGTATGTATGTGTACATTAAGTTTGTCAAACAAAATGCAACTGGTTATGGTTATTTCAACTAAATAGGTGAAGATTGGTTATTGGAGTTACGTAATACAAAATCAGTCAAGAAAATTAGGTGCTAATGAAATCAGGATAGTAACAAAGGTGATGAGTTGTCATAAACAGTTGTTAAAATGAAGTTACGTAATAATATGAATATTTTGATGATTGAGTTTTACTCAGGATACACATAGGAACAAAGAAGAGAATACGAAATTACGTAAGAGTTCTAAATGAATAAGAGAATTATAAGCAACTAAAGAGCAGGCAAACAAATAAAATTAAGTCATCAAAATCAATAAAGTTGTTACCATGATAATATAAGTGGTTGAGTAATTCTCTTTTGTGTGCACAGCTCCGGTTTTTCTATGTGGGTGGCCATAGCTTCAACGATACAAAGAAGACGAAACCGTATTGCCTTTGGTAGGTTATTCCTGACTCTGTAAATTACTTTGAAACAGGCGTTTGTTGAGATGGAATGATCAGTGTTAATCAGGTGTTCAATTATCGCACTCCTTATTGCACCACTATTGCCTTTTCGTAACCATGCTGGATAGTGTCCTTGAATCCTCTTGGAATTCGAACGACCGATGTACCTGGCTCCACAGCAGCAGGTGAACTGATATATGCACATAGAAGTGGTCAGATGCGGGATCTTGTCCTTGAGGCTTCTACAGATCAGTGGGAGACTGGAGAATACTATTCTTAGTGTTACTGCAAAGAATGTTCTTCTCAGAGATGATGTGATCCTTCTCTTGAGAATATCGCTTGTTAAATCTCCCTTGAAATCCAAGTTCATGTAGAGTTTCTTTTTGGGCGCAATTAAAGTTTCGCTTCTCCGAAGTTTGCGTAATTTCGTATTCTCTTTGTTCCTATGTGTATCCTGAGTAAAACTCAATCATCAAAATATTCATATTATTACGTAACTTCATTTTAACAACTGTTTATGACAACTCATCACCTTTGTTACTATCCTGATTTCATTAGCACCTAATTTTCTTGACTGATTTTGTATTACGTAACTCCAATAACCAATCTTCACCTATTTAGTTGAAATAACCATAACCAGTTGCATTTTGTTTGACAAACTTAATGTACACATACATACACAATAACCCACATACATATTTGCGACTGTACAGCTAAGAAAATGAATTCACCGGCGAAAAGAGACTCTTCACTGAACTACGTGTTTGTTTTCATTAATGTCTGGTTGGAGTCCTTGAAATTTCTCTAAGAACAGCTAATGGCTGGAAACTGTTTGATGTCACAGTTCAAAATCGTTAGCAATTGTGTAAGTGTATTCCCTAAATGTGATCGCCAAGATCTATTGAAACGTCTCCGTCTCTATCTTTATGTGTACGCTTGTGAAGTGTCGCATTTTTGTGCAGCCTTCTACATTGAAAATTCAGCCTATCTTGAGTTCACCTTCATCGGGAATTTCGTTGATGTTTTCTTCTTGATGCAATACTAGACTCAACAGTATGTTTTTTTTGTGCTAGAAATGTTGGAAATAATAATATACTAATAATATTAATCATTTTATTCTGAACGGTGTTTATGTAGTGCACAGAATTTTCACCGGAGTTTATTCCATGATATTTTCTCCTCGTCTAGGGTCTAAGATTGATAGTAGATCGTGTGACGCAGTTCTATTTGACTTGAAGCAGAAACCAATCCACTACTATTATGATGGTATCTCTTCTTTTTCTCCTTTGAGAAAAACACGACATTTTGCTGAATGCCAATTATAAAAAGTTATGGAGTACATTTTCTGAACCAAAGACACCACTGTGGAACGATCATTTCATGTAGTATTGGGATAAGCCTCCATCCATCGAGGATACTGGTTTGTCTCATGTTTAGTAGAAACTTGCGAAACCTCAGGTTGTGAACATTTTAAATATTCAAGAGAGTAGATAATATAATTGGAGGTCATATTTTACTAGATTTCAACAGACTGAATAAGAGAAATCGTATGTGTGTCGGTGGCACAGCGATTAGGACGCTCGCCGATCATGCACATGGTCCGGGGTTCGATCCACGGCCCATGCACACCTGATATCAGTGGTCGGCCAGATAAATTTGAGTTACCGATATCACATGCTGGAAATTGTATAGTTGTGCCAGAAATACTGTGAGGAATCAAGCTTTAATAAATAAATAAGTTTAAAAAAGTAATATACTGATTGAGGTTTTCGGTAGCCCAAGTTTTAAACAGGCCGCCAATAATCAGCGTTCAAATAATCAAACACAGCTGGCAGTGAAATTCAGGATTCCCATTTCATCTCATGTAAGACTTATCAATCACTTATCTTCCCACCGATATGTTTCAGAAGATATGTGCTGGGTTCGAGTTTCACTAAGAACACATTCACTCACTAGAGACTGCAGGTGCATCCAACTGGTGAGTCCCAAACAGTACGAAGTGCACATCTAGTATCCCACTGCTAGTCACCACTCACCATATAACAATTTTAGATCGCTTGTTTACCTTTAAAAGAGTGACAAGCCAAATGTAGTGTTGTCTACCCGTCTAGCCCCTTTCACAGTTTTATATCTGCAGTTAAAATGCTCTTTTTTAAAAAAATAAGACAATAAATAGATTTGTGTCAAATTAATTTATTCCTCCTGCTTATTTAGACTGTTTTTTTTCTAAATGCTTACTAAAATTTAGAACAAAAGTGCGTAAACGTGATATCCGGCTGGCTAACAATTAAAGGACGTGTGCACTGCTCATCATAGCTTTGAGATACGGACATTGAAAGTGGAAAATGCGTAAAGGCCAGCGGTCTTTGATCATAGTTGTCTGAGTTTTATCTTCCTTGTTAAGTGGTATGATAAGGTGAGCAATAATGAGGTCAGGCTTTGGTCTAGTGCTAGGTAAGGAGGGGAAATCAACTAACGAGGTTGTGAAGCAACATTGATTGAGATGGTTAGGACATATGTTACGCATGACTTGCCGTGACCTTCCTTGACAGAAAAGGTTAGCTGACATATGACTATTTTGGAAAGGAGTTGGTGTTGGTCAAACGAAAACATGGC